TGTAGAAAAGACTATAGGGGAAGACCTCAACACCCGTTGACTTTGTAATGTCGGATGCGATTCTTCGGGCTGCCGACATGGCGTTGATAAAGTCGTCCTGGCTGCGGAGCGGGGTATGCATCGTTCTGAAGTGACTGGCAGGAATGGTGTCCTTCTCCGAGTCGACCACCACCGCGTTACCGTATGATGCTTGGCCTCCAAGCGGACAGTCGTCGTTGGTGGGCGCCTTGAGGAACTTCTCGAGGTAGTGAACAAACTCGCCATCCTGGGGCATACCCGAAAGGGTGATGTTCCAAGGTGGGTTGCGATCAGCGAAGCATGCCTTGCCGTTCTCAACACAGCACGAGTCGCCAAGGTCAGGGTTGAGCCACAGGAAGAAGTCATCGATCCAACTGGCAGCGGGCGACGAGATGAAAGAGACATCGGGTCTCTTCCGCTCGCCCTCTAGGATGTTGGAGAGGGAGAATTGGTCGCAGGTGGTGAATCTTGCGCAAATCTCGCGTTGGTTCTTACGCGCAGTTCCGTTGAACTCTCTGGTGACAAAATAGACAGGAGGACCAGTCTCCATGTATTTGTAGAGATCGTTGAAATAGGGAATGAGATAGGAGCCGTCGGGGATGGCAACGCGCTGGTCCAAGCCAAGCTGCACCTCGGGGATAAGTGCGATTCCAGCAGCAAAGATACCCAAGAAGATGGCAATAATAATGGCCTTGGTTTGCTTTGCAAGGATGGCCGGTGCGTATGTACGGCGGATGAATTGCTGCAGCCAGCTCTCTTCCGGGACTTCGTAGAATCGCGCGTTAGCGTTTCCATTTCCGCCACTCAGGTGGACCCGGGCTGCCTTGACCTGGAGGCAAGGGATGCAGTCTGCCCTATGGTCTTCCACGCGAATTTGGTTCATGGCCAAAACTGAAATAAAGAGCGTAATCTGAAGAATAGCGTTGATGAAGACAGCACCCGCGGCGTAGGCGGCAAAGTTGCGCACCGCGGGCATGCCCACAAAGGTTCCGAGTGCGAAAGCAACAGTCTCAGTCAGAGCTGAGAGAAGAATCGACGGCCCCATGCGTCCCAGGGCCTTGGCAATACGCTCCTCGACCATCTCATCGGGGTGGCTAACGTTGACGCGTTCAAACTCGTGGACGATGAGGAAGATGTTGTCTACGCCGACAGCAAGAACGATGAAGGGGATGACCTCGGCAATGATGAGCGTTGCCTTTAGTCCGAACCAGGAGAAAAGCCCGATAGAGGCGCTGATGGACATGAGAACGATCAGAATGCCTACCACGCCGAGTGAGAACTTGGACTGCACCAAAGCGACAGCTGGGTTCCTGATCATATCCCGGAACGACAGCGTAGTAGATCCGAGGGCAAGCGACGCGTAGAGGAACATGATAATATAGCTGATGATCACAATCTTGGCATCGGTGTTGGTAGACTTGTTCAACTCCTGCTCCAAGCTGATCTCAGTGGAGAAAGAAAGTCGAAGTCCTCGATCCGAAGCCTCTTGCTGAACCTCGAGAAGACGGTCACGGAGTGCGACTTCCCAGTCCATAGCACGCTCGACGGCCGGACTACCTTCAGCTGCGTTTTGGACGACCCAGGTGACAGTCATGGCATGAGCAGCAGCGGGATCATCCTCGTAACCGCCGAGAATCATGTTCGGCTCGAGAGGAAGGCCGAAATCAGGACGACATTCGACGGGGGACTTTGCGCACTGTCGCAATTGATCCTCCCAGCCATTCTTGCTAACAAGCGAGGGTTCGTCGCCAAAGTAAGTCGCCACAGACTGGACAACGCAAGAGGTGCCAGTGGGCTTCAAGCAGATATCGTTTAGACTGGCGCCAAATTTGGGGCCCTTCAGCTGCTTGACGCTCTTCTCAACACCCATCCACCAGATTAGCGTGTCATAGCTGAGAACAGGAGCAGGGCCGCTGGAGTGCTGATCGTTGACCAAGAAGACCTTCTCGGCGCGGTAAAATGGTCCAAACTGCTCGTCAAAAAATGCCTTTTCCTGAGCAGCAGGAGACGTGGGGCTAACCCAGAGGCGCGCAGGGTCTTTCTCAAGGTCAAACCTGACCCAACCGGCACTGAGAATGATGACGACAATGAGTGTCACACCAATGGTGATTCCCTGGTAGCGTGCCGCTGCGTGGCCGAGCTTGCTAAAGGCCGCGTCGCACCAGGTGTTGATCTTGTAATATCTCTGAGGCCTGTCAAACATGGCGCCATTCTGGACCAAATCGCCCTCATCCTCGTCGTCGCTGGGAGAAGCATCTTGCAGGAGTCGGAGGCGCTCGCTCTCTCTCTTGGCACGACGTCTCCACACAACGTGTCCCACAACGCCAGCGATGGCAGCGAACAGGAGGATGCTGTAGGTGAAGATAGCCGCAAACGACAGGCAGGGCAGAAGGCCGACATGGCATTCGCCAGGCTTCGAGACGGCTGGGAGCTCCGGGCAGACATCAGGGCAATCGACACAAGCGCAACGGTAGTTGGGGTCCTCGTCATTGCACTTCTTGGGCGTCATGTCGCGAGGGGCCATGCTCGGCTCACTGTACTCGGTGGGGAAGTTGATCTGGAAGGGCGATCCGATGACCTTTTCGTCTCCTAGGAACTTGAGCAGCTGGGAGTAGTTCTTTGCGCCACCTCCGATAAAGTCAATGGCCCTGGAGTTGGAGGGACCGAACTTGACCTCCTTGCAGCTGTCGAAGAAACCAGTGCCATATTCCTTTGAGATGAGCTGGTCCAGCTCCGTCACCATCGTCTTCTTGTTCTTCTCCTGGGTCTTTGTGACGTTCAGGAAGAGGGACTGGTCGGGAGAGCATGTGAAGGTGCAGAACAGGTTGAAGAAGTTGTCCTTGCAAGCCGGGCAGGAAGAGACAATCTGATTCGGGGTACCGAGCTCGGAGGCGAGCGATTCGACCTGTTGAGCAGCACGCATCAGTAAGGTGGACAGCAGCCTAGCTTTGATGGCAATAACTTACCTGGTCAGCATCGCAGCAAACCGGACCGGCGTTCCATTTGGCACCGCAAAGGTCGACAATCTGCTTTCGCAGGTCTTCATCGGGGTCCGTAGCCAGACCATTGTCGGGGCAGGGCAGCTGCTTGCCAAAGAAGCTCTTCTTGCCACAATGGCCGCGCATTGCGCATCGTCCAGCTTCATGCTTAGGTGTTAGTGGCTCTGCTGCAACGCTGCTCAGGGAGGCCAGTAGCAGGCCGCCGGCTCCGAGCAGCTTCAACAGCGTCATCGTGAGCGTCGTATATGCCGCTCAGCGGCTAGGGTCGGGTTACTGATGGAGAAGTGTGTTGAAGAAGGAGAATATTGAGAATACGCGACGATGACTAGAGATAGAGGAAAGAAACGCCCGTCGCGCAAAAGGATCCCAAAGCAAGGGACGGTGGATAGTTTGATGGCAGATGGTAAGTGTGAAGTGTGGAATGGGAGGGACGGATGGAGGTTGGGCGGTTGCAGTGACACACGATGCCGTCCGGGTGCGCCTGCCGCTGGGGTAGGTACCTAGGTAGCAAGCTTTCTGGGAGCTCCGGTAAGGTAGGTGCGGTGGGCTGCTGCTCGTGTGGCGCACTTGCCCTTGCACTTGCGACTCTTCCGCCCGCGTTTTACGGCGTGCCTGCGTCATCCACCTCAAGTTGCACCAGAAACAGCAGCGGCAGCGGGTGTCTCAGTGCTGGCACCCACTACGGTCTACTGCGGTACTGCCTGAGGTGCGCAACGCCGCACCACCCCCCCGGCTGCAGGTGCTTCCTGCCCGCAGAAGTGGGGCCATCGTTCGCTCTCGGCTGGGGCCTTGGGGGGAGCTTGGGGACCATTCCATTGGCGGGTTGCTCCCCAGCCACTCCGCTGTCACTGCCGCAGAATCAATGGCGTCACGATGACAGTCACGTGGCATCTCTTAGTCAGGTACCTGCCCAATGCGGAACATGGTCGACTACCCTCCCGGAGGCCCACGCGGGGAATCCCCGGACTCCAGGGCCTCTTCCGTACCCTCTAACCCGGGCACTTCAATTCAGTCCCGCTCAAGGCTCGGACCGGAGATTTCGGTTCTAAATTTGGATGTTTCTCTGAGCCGATAGAAACAATACATCACGGTCAGCATCGTGTGCTTATTAGACCACTCAGGGCACAAACAGGTGCCTTACTGCGTCACTCAGTGTGTCACAGCCGATCAACTAGCCCTGGCCTTCCAAACATTCACCTACCTTGTTTTAGATACGGAATATTCATGGCAGAGCATAGTTCATAATCACTAAGGCAACAGCAAATTGTTTGTTAACAATAATTAGACCACCACTGGCATGTCCCTGTGGTCGCCTGGACGCTTGATGTGTGAATCGTCGCTTGGATTCTGATGAACTTTATCCGTACTTAAAAAGAAGTTTTGAGAAGAAGAATTTTCCGAGAGACCACCATTCACACTGTCCCTGTCTAGGAAATTCCAACGGTACCTAGTATAAATCCATACCCTACGACCTGACCAGACTTACGGTTGGACCAGCTGTATGCTGGCCATGAGTGATGCGGATGGCCCCGGGAATTCATCCGCACAAGCTATTGCTGAGATCTTGAGTGGGTATGTTCTCGCGTGAAATGCCCTTTCAATGCAATGTTTGGATCTTTCGCCTCGGCGGAGTTCAATCGCCTCTTGTCGAGTCTTGTCCTACATTCACATGTTCCAAGTAGAACATGTGGTCTTTGGCACAAGTGAGATACAGAAAGGAAATACGATAAGCTTTGGGATATGCAGATCGCGCTTGATACAATGATGGTATGCATATTAAGACATAAGCAATACCATAAGCATACAAGAGAGCTATTCGCAAAAGTACACGTTTGGCGGGTCTTGCTAGCACCTAATTCAAAGCCATGGTTGATGGCATTGATGCTCCTGTAGGTACATAAGAGAAACCATCGTCTAGGGACAATTTCCCAAACGAGCGAACTACAAATCCTCAGAGTCTTTTGATGCTCACAGGTAGCTCCATCACTCATCCTCCCCCTTCCCCTCCCACCCCAAAATCTTCGGCCCAAAGTTATACCACCCGTACATCTCCACGCTCGCAATCACGCAAAACCCCGTAATCAACCAAAACCGTGCCCTGGGACTCGAAGTAATATGTCGGAGATTGAAAACCGGAATCTCAATCGGATCTCCTCCTCCGCTTCCAGATTTGTTGCCGTTGCTGGTCTTGCCTGATGTAGTGCCGCCGGCGGTCCGGAACGGCGTGGTGGAGAAGGCGATGCGCTGAAGCGGGCGGGGCCGAAGACCTGCGGGAAGGACTTGGGGCCTTGTGATGACACGCGCTGCTGCTGCGGACATGGCCCTTGGCTTCTAAATCTGATTGTTGTGCTTTCAAGTAATTGAAAAGCAAATATATGTAGTCTACTGGCAGAGAGCTATGCCTAGATGGTTTGTTGTGACTGATAATACCCACAGCATCTTCATCTGTTGCATTGCACTCGACGAGCTTATATTCTCCATCCGCCGTTAATTACGACCCGAGCGTCTGCCCTTTTTACGAAGGATGCGCTGGAGTCATCGTAAAACGATATGCCTAAGCGTGAAGGTGGCACACCCACCCCGACTGCACCCGGGAAAAGTGGAGACATTTCCGTCAGCTCGGAGGAACAATGTTATGTCGCAGGGACTTTGGTTTACCCCATTCGGCTTGTATTGGGCTCATCACTAAGGTCAAGTGCCCGAGGTAAGATATTCCGCAACTAAGATGTTCCATGTACATAGTACTAATCTAATGTTCTTCCATCGTCATGCTACGCCAACACCTGAGCAATGCCATGCCTGTAGTAAGCGCCGCAACAAAGTCCAAGCAAAACGCCCTCTTGAGCCCTCATGATCTATTAATCGTCAGCGGCTTAAAGGGCTTCCTCAGCCGGTCTATCGGTGCAAGGCCCCCTTCCTTCTTCAACGCCGCCGGCCTCTTGAATCCCCCAAAGCCATTCGTAGTCGTAGTTGTGTGTAAGCAGCTCGCCGGTCGTTCCCGGACCGGCGGTGGCTCACTTGTGTCTTGATTCTCCTTTTCGGGAGATATTGGTCGAGGCGGGGAGCTCGAAAAGTTTGTGTAGTGTTTCTTTGGCCCCGCGGTGCTTTCGAAAGCAGGTCTTATTGGTTTGGCGGGTAACCTTCCCTGCCCGAGTCGGTGACCACTGAGGCCTGGCTCGATGGCAGGCACAGGGCGCTGCGCTTGGTGCAAGTTTGGCAACTCTGGGAGCTCTTGAGCAACCGATCGTGGCTCGGGAGCAGATGGTCGATGTACTGATGGATAGGATGTGTCCGGTAAATCGGACTTGGTCCTCTTGACGAATCCCAGAAGACTTCGCTGATCAGCTGGCCGCTTCGTCGTCCCCTTTTTGGGCGCGGCCGACTTTTGTGGGCCAGAGTCGTTCCGCTGAGCGGATGCGGCCATTTCCCTTGCAGCTGCCAGCATCTCCCTGGCCGCGCTTGCAGTCGTGAAGCCCGGCAAAGTGAAGTTGGAAGCACTATCCATTGTTGTAGATGTGTGCCAAGTGGGTATCGGCTGGGAATCACCCTCTTCCGATGCTGAAGTTGCCTGTGCCCGAGGGCGTCTTTGCGCCCAGGGTATGTTTCTTCCACCCGCACCCCTCTCGCCAAAAGAGTCTTCTGGATCTTCGGGCCACAAGTTGTCCTCGGGCCGTTCCATAGGAGGTAGGTCCTTGTACACCTTGTCTTGGGTTGGCACTACGGACTCCCTCCGGAGTATGCGCCCCATCTCTTGTAGGATCCCAGGCTCGAAAGATGGTCCGGTTTTCCTGAAATACGGATGAATCTCTGATGGGATAAAAGGCGATGGCTCAGTACGCTCGCCACCGTTTCCTCCATTCTGCGAGCTGTACATTGGGCAACTGAGATAGAGGAGTGTCTGCGCCCGTGTCATGGCCACGTAGAGCAGCCGACGTTCTTCGTCGAGATCCTCGGACCTCGAGTGTGGGATGGATCCATTGTACACTGCTGGTACAAATACAATGGGCCATTCAAGGCCCTTGGCTGCGTGTATAGTTGATATGGTTACAGTCGGCTTGTTCTCCGCATCTCCCTTTTGTTGCGCATCCGACGCCAAGGATACGTTTGCCAAGAACCGGCCTAGGGCGTCGTTCTCTTGCACCTGCTGGACTTCATGGATCACTGGGAGGCGGTCCTCCTCTGCTGTGGCGCTCAAGTCTCGCATAAAGTCACCCGCCAGACTGATGAACTCCTGGACGTTGGCCCATCGCGTCTCGTGCTCTTCGGGATAATTCTCCTGAAGGTACTTTTGAAAGTTGAGCTGTGAAAGCAGATTCTGAATGAGATCGACCAAATGGTAGTACGGACTTCCGATAGGAGGCTCTTCGATCTTTCTTCTGATGCCAGAAATCAGTCTGAGAAGCTCTGCGCTAATCTTCTGCTCCATAGCCTTTTTGATGTTCGTCTTTGCTTGACGCTCTCCCCGGCAGTGTTTGTTGAGTACCACCCAGACACTGAGCTTGGAGCTCTCGGCTTCCTCAAGAAGGGACTTGATAGTTGTGTCTCCGACGCCGCGGCGAGGTATGTTGATGATGCGAGCCACTGCATCATTGTTGTCGGGCTGGTGAATGACGCGCAGGTAGTCAAGAATCACCTTGACCTCTGCGCGCTCGTAGAACTTGAAACCGCCAACCATTTTGTATGCAATGCCGGCTTTGCCCAGACAAGATTCGACGTGTCTGGAAAGCGCTGCCGACCGTAGGAGAATGGCCACATCATCGTTGGTCAGCATCTTGCCGGCCATCAGCAGGGCTCTTCTAATTTCCGACACAATCCATTCGGCCTCGACAGCCGCAGATTTGAGCCTTCGAAGAACTGGTCGTGTGCCTTTGTTGTGGATAGGCAAAAGGACTTTTTGGTAGCGCTTCTTGTCTTGTTGAATGACCTTCAGGGAGACATCCAAGATTGCTTGCGAGGAACGGTAGTTCTCCTCCAGTGAAATTTCGTCCGCCTTGGGATAGTCCTTTAGAAGACGGTACAAGTTCTTGATCTCGGCGGACCGCCAACCGTAGATGCTCTGATCGGGATCCCCCACGATGGTGATTCGTTCTCGTGCTTGAGCAAACAGCCTCATGAGTTCGTATTGAATGCCATTGGTGTCTTGGTACTCGTCGATAAGCACAGCCTGAACGTTGGCGACGCATGAAGGATGCTTTCGTAGTAGCTCCACACATTGCGTCAATAGGTCATCATAGTCCAGCAGGTTGGACCGCTCGAGGTGGCTCTGATACTCTCGGAAGCATGTCTCCAGGTCGCGATTCTCGGGCACTGGCTTGCCATTCCGCTTCAATGGCGCCTGACTGTCACCTCTAGCCTTCTTCTTGCTGATCCAGGATCTTGCAGCAGGGGGGTCGACTGATAGCTGCAATCGCTTGCAAATCCTTTGGATGATGGCCCTCGAGTCTCCATCGTCGGCAATGGCGAACTTTTCATGAAGCCCGATACGCTTGCCATAGGCAGCCAGATAACGGCGGGCAATACTGTGAAACGTGCCCAGAACAATCTTCTTTCCACGGTCATCCCCAAGGGCCTTGCAGATGCGCTCCTTCATCTCCCGTGCAGACTTGACCGTGAAAGTGGCGACAATCATGTCAGTAGGCGCGTATCCGACGTTGTCCACGAGCCAAACGACACGCGATGTCAAGGTGTGCGTCTTGCCACTTCCAGGGCCGGCCAGGATGGCGACAGTGGCATTCTTGGACGTTACGGCGCGACATTGCGCTGGGTTCAACGTAGCAAGGATGGATTCGGCCGGGCCTGGGGCCGAACTTGACGAGTTCATTGTTGGAAGGCGATCATTGGCGAGAAAGAGGCATCAAATGCAAAGATTGACATACAAGAAGTGGTTAAGAAGTGAATGCTCTGCTTGACTTCATCTTCTGACAGAGAGGGTCGCGTCCCATGGCTTAGTTGACGCGTCTAACGGTTACTTGACCGTGGCACCAGTACCCAAGTCAACATCGCGGTACCTGAGTACCTGGCACACGACATCAGGTGACCGCTCACGTGGAAGGAGCCCCACTCTGATTAGGATCCCTCGCTACGCACGTGCATCCGCAGATCCGCATAGTTTCGCGACCCACCTGCACGACGCTCGCACTGAAGCAGCTGAGGAACGCTCCCATACCGGACCGCTAAACTCTCGTCGATGGCTTCTTTCTTTGAGTCTCAGACGAATACATACCTTTTCATTGTGGCATTCAAAGTCACCCACTGAGATATGGACTACTCATCCTACCCAACCACTCGGTGACCCGACGATTCAGTTTGGCTTCTTCCGTTGCTTCGATGCTCCTCCAACGCTCAGGCAAAAGAAGCCCTATTGCGTCAATCATCCACAGGTTTCAATAGGCGGCGCAGTCACACTGCTCTCGGATTCGGATGCATTCGCCGACGGTTTGTCGGTTGAGCTCCGCGGGGTGAACACCACAGCCCCCTTTCTCTATTCCGAGACCATCATGCGAGGCGTTGATTCGACAAGCTGGCTTTTGTTTCCTCGATCAAGAGTCCCATCCCGCCGTTTCCATCACACACAGACGTGCCAGACCGGCTGGAAGGGTGTAAGGAACTATGGAACGCTCCATTGGGTAAAGCGAATAATCATCGCTCGGACAAAGTCTGTTTCCCTTATTGTTGCTTTGATGACTCGCGAAGGGTTGTTCGCTACCCGCCGAAAGCGAACGGACAATCACCCGTGCTCGCCCAAAGTTTTCCCATCCGTCGAGGATGAGAAACAGGAGCGACTTAACGGGCAGAAACAAAAGTCAACGTTCCATCGGTCGATATCGCTCGATGTACGGGAGGGAAAGGGCGTCGGTCCTATCACAGTGATGAAGTTACGATCATCACGCTTTAATGCTGCCCGCAATGTGAAGTCACACTTGGGCAGAGATCCCATTCGAGGACGCCTGTGATACGATGCCCCAGAGGGCAAGGCCAGTGCAATAACGTTGCGCCCTATTGCAGCTGCTTATGCGGTCAGAAAGAGATAGTGCTGGGCCAAACGCAGGGATGGCCTTCCCGCTGCCGGGACTTGGACCTGGAATCGGGGAACTGGATTCACTTCGCATGTGTGTACCTTGGACAGTCGAGACTTGAGAGATTTGAGAGACAGGATGAGAAGCGAGGACGACAGGCGGAACCACCTGAACAGCTGACCTGGGAACCGCTCCTCTTTTTCACCACTGTTCACGACAAACCACGGTGATTCCGGCTCTTAGTGGTCACCCATTTTCGGGGCCATGGCAGGACATGGTTATTGCCCTGCGAGGGCGAATTGAGTTGGCAGAATTCTTGTTGAACGACAACGAAGGGTGGCACGGCGCGGGGTTGGATCAACTTGAATGTGACGGAGCAACCCAATCATGCCCCCGGCAGCCATCCTCGGCGCTTACGGCCCCCTGCCATCACGTCGATCCGTCCAACCACATCTCGGGAAGCCCTTGATGCTCCCGCCTCCTCTGCAGACGACATTAATAGCCACGAGCCATTTTGGGCGCTATTTTATCGTCGCCATCATGCAAGTGCGACCGCTTCGCAGGAGTCGTGCCTGGGTGTTCAGCAAGTCAGAGTCCAGAGCACACGGTCAGCGCCAATCTCGACGCACTGCCGAACCTCACCAGCCGCTATATACCCTTTGTACGCCGCATATCCGTGCCTTTCCATGTAACTTCTCCATCACAATGTGTTTCGGACCCTCCTCCAGGAGGTAAGATCATCAAAGCTGGATTTGACTTTTAAAAAGAGTTGCGGTGTCCTCACCACCTCACCATGAAACCCGTCCAAGCCCTTCTTAACTCGTGTCCTCGGCTTCACTTCTTGACCTTCGTTCTTTTCTTCTTCTTGTGCAGCAACAGCTACATCACACACGCAGCCCCGTCACCGTCTGTCCTGGAGACTCGCAGCAACAACAATCCGTTGAACATTGATTGGGATCCCGCACCGTCACCAGAGGACGGACCGCCTGCATCTGCAAACGCTCTCAGAGACCCTGCATATCTCCCTTACCAGATCGGCGCCATCGTCGGTTCCTACGGAGTATCATTGGTGCTGGTCGCCGGTTTGTTGCTCATACTATCGAAAAGACGTCGCGAGGCCCTCACTGCCGGTGACGACGAGGTGAACTTTGAAGTCGGACTCGACGAGCCACTCGACGATCCAAAATCACCCCCGAAACTCACCCTTGAGGTGCCGAGTTCGCCCCGGAGCATCCCCCGGAGTCCCGTTCGCAACTTTTCGTATCCCGGTGCCGAGGAGTACCAGACCCCGGAGTACCCAACTCCCCAGACCCCTTACATCAACCCAACACCAACGTCAACGCTTCAGGCGCCCGGAGTAGACTTCACCGTTGACCAGAGTATCGTCGCCAAGGACAAGAAAATGGCGCAAACGCAACTCGAGGAGATGTACAAGTACGTGATGGAGCAGGAAGAGGCCAAACTGCAGGGCATCAAGCTGGAAGGATCACCGGTACTTTCGGCCAACCCTCAGCTACCAACACCGACGAATGCCAGCTTCTCGTCCCTGAGGAAGCAAAAGCACAAACCAGGCAACCTGAACCTGTCAGAGGAGAAGCCGGAGAAGAAGCAGTCAAGGGCCTCGTCCATCTTCTCGGCCCTGCGTTCTCCCAAGAAGGACAAGAATGTACGAGGTATCAGCATTTCATCACCCATCATGACGCCCATGACGGGGACTTTCCCGAGACAGGAGGCTCAAGAGATGAACGCCATCCCGCCGCGGCAGTACGCGCCGCCCCCGCCACCTCCAGTACCCATGAGCCAGATGCAGATGCCGTACGGAGTACACCAGCACAACGGCCAGGTATCACCCGTCAGCCCGGACCACTCCCCGGAGAGCACCCAGAGCATCGACGAGCGGATCGGCGGCCAGATTCCAATCGGCCACGTCCGCAAGCCGTCAGCAGCGCCCTCCGAAATGGATCCCAACTCGGCCGTCTCGGAGCGATCGACCGCGCCGCTCATCGGGCTCCCGCAATCCCCGAAGCCGGGAGCCCGATTCAGCTCCACCCTACCCTCGTCCCCGAAGCCGGGATCCTCGTTCCAGCTCCCCGCATCGCCCCTGCCAGGCGCCGGGTTCCGGTCCAAGGCGCCCTCGGCAGTCCGCACTGGCGGATCCCTGCCTCTGCGTGCGTACGAGCCCGCGCTCAGCTCGCCTTCGCTGGCGTCGCAGACCACCAAGCAGACCGTGTTCACGCGCACGGGACCTCTGTCGCCGTCGGGAGCCCGCACGCCGGCTACTGGCATGGCGGTGCCTTACTCGCCGTATCAACCTTTCACGCCTTGCGTGCCCATGACGCCGTCGCTTATTACCAAGGCTGACCGGAAGAGGATGAAGAAGCTGGAGCCCAAGACGCCGACGTTGGAGATGGTCAGGAGTGATGATGACATCTGGTAAACGGGGTGTAGCTCGTGGGCAGGTTTCCGGGGAGGTTAGAAAAGGAGAAGGGGGCAAAATACCCATATAGACTGTGGACAACGCAAAGCAGGGCCTGGCGGGCGACCGTAGGGTAATGTCATGATGAACTGGTTTTTTTTTTTTTACTCCTTTTGGAAACGGGATGAAGGAGAGGGGAAATGAGAGAGAGAGAGAGAGAGAGAGAGAGAGAGAGAGAGAGAGAGACGTTTCTTGGCGTTGTCTCTTGATTGGATCATGTTGTTTTTCTTCCATCGGATTCTTATCGCATATACGCAAAATACCATTTTACATAGCAAGAAGGGAAGAGGGGTTTCCGGTTCAAATGATGAAAGTTTATGACAAGAGTCAGTACGCGCAGGACAAAGGGTAGATGACCTGTCATGCCCTCCTTCTCTGGAACGAGACGATCTAATAACCGGATAGTATCCAGGTATTTAATGATTAAGTTTTTATTTTCTGCCCTCCTCGTTTTTCGCACCTTTGCAATGCTGCACAATGCAATTCAGGGTTCGTGCCATGCTTGTCAAGGACGAATAGGCGTTTCAGACGGTCCAAACGGAGGGTTAAGGGATTGTCTTTCGTGTCTCGGATGGGGGAGGGGTAGTGTTGCCCAGTAAGTTCAGTCACAGTGAAGAAGTGAGGGGAGCCAAAGAGCATGTGTTGGTCGGCAGGCAGATGGTACTTGTAAGGTTCATAACTGATGACGATTCATCATGAAGGGAGACATTGTCCAGACGTTTACAGTTCTACGGTTCTTTGGAAGTTGCTGAAGACGTTGGAGCACGAGGTACAACGGGCTGGGGGGGATAATTAGAAGCGAACGTCAAGCGTGTTTGCGGGGTGAGTTGCTTGGCCTTCTGCGCTCTTGGTGGTGTTGCGACAGGCTCAAGCAGGGTGAGTCGCAGCCATGCTCGATTGTGAGACACTTACTGAGGCGCTGGATGAGAATCAAAAGGGCAAGGTGTGCTACCTAGGTGTGGTGGACGGGGGGGAGACTGGCACACTAGGTGTGAGTGAAAGCACCGAGAAGTTAGAAGCAAAGACAGCCACAGGCGGGCGAACACGGTCCACGAGTCGAGGACACGGCCCCGAGTGGAAGAGAAGCATGAAGCACCAAAAGGACCGTGACGCGCGCGCGCTTGTGTGGGGGAGATAAGAGACATGTCCGGACACGAGAAACACTCTTGAACGAGCCCAAGAGAAGCAAGAAGCGAAAAGAGAGAAACCGAGGCGCCACCGGTGACAAAGTGATAGTGGGAAAAAGCCACAGCTGCTTTCAGGCTTTCAGCATCGGGAGATATTGGAACTAGTCAAGCTCTACTAGCTTACGGCTGATTAGTGTCTCTCAATTTTAGTGAGGGCCGCTGAGGCGAAGTCTTCTTTCCTTTCTTTCTTCAGGTGTCTTGCAATTTTTGTGATCCGGCGACCCAACGCTACGGCGAGCGCCGGTGAGTCTTGGCCATCGAGGGTCGAAGTATGGATAGATTGGTGAGTACCTACGTGCCTACGTACGGTCCACGAACAATCGAAGATCAATAGAAACTGAGAAGAAACGAAGACGATCGCAAATGAAGTGTGGAGACAGAGAAAGGCTAGGGCAGAAAATGCCCGTCGTCATCATGGGACACCCATCGAGCTGAGCTGGAGTTGGGCGGTGATCCTGGCTGGCAGGTGTTTGTGAGGAGGAGCTGAGCTCTACCTGTGCCTGAAGAGTACGAGTACAGGCAAGAGGTGAGGGGCAAGAGGACATGACCGGATTCGTGGACAGCGCTTGTAGTACCTACCTCACTGTGTATTGAAAATCCATAGGAATTCAGGATTCGGTATCAAGCGATAGTTTCGGTCCGTAACTGTAGACAGCATGTGGAAGCGTTCAAGCGTTGGGCTACCAAGGCGTTCCCGGCTCCGGGTGGCCCCCCTCTCATCCGAAGGGTGAACTCTCACACACTTCTCTCACTCTTGACTTGTCCCTCATGCCCTTTTCCCCTCTAGGTACTCACTTCTCAGGCGTGCCACGGCGCAGTATTTCTTGGCTGTAAAGTGGCGTTTCTGGAGTGGGGAAAGCCTGTAAGATGAGCGATGCGTATTCTGAATGATGAGAGGGGGCAGGGCGAGAAGGTGAGAGAGACGCTTGTCACTGAGAAAGTGAGGGAGGGTGCGGCCGGCGCGATGTTCCTGGTCCCCCGGGGTCCATGACCAAGTCCGATCCGGCATCTCCCAGCGCTGATCCCAAGACTCAGAGACAGACTGCCAGACTTTTGGCGTCCCACATCGTTGTTGCGAGTGGGACTTGAGTGAGTTGACTGAGTTCTCGTTCATCTGCCTTCCCTGGCCTGGCGCGCCTGGATAAGTAGGTAGTGTACGGAGTACTGAGTGGTGCCCGAGGTAAGGTCGGTACCTGAGGGGAGTCAGGGCGGGCGGGCGAGCGGGCAGACGGGAGGAAGGTATCGTCTCATATTAAACAACGTGTGAGGATACGTACCTGCTGTCAAAGTGGTGGACCTTCTTGGAATTGCCAGCCGGCGGGAGCATTGCCGGCAGCCGGCAGTCTTGAGATTTGGGAGTACCTTACCTACGTGCCTACTTCCTCATGAAGCTCAATGAAGCAGACCTGGCAGGAAGGCAGTGTTGGTGGCAGTATCCCGGATCCGCAGGGCAGCAAAGCAGGGACGAGTCGACGACGGCAGTACGTACTTCGTACCTTCGACGGTCGAGTCAAATGTGTGAGAGGAACGGGCAGCGGGCGGGCACGACGGGCTACGGGTCGCGGAAGGTAAGGTACCCAAGACTGCCCTTCCTGTGTCGAGTCTAAAGGGCATGGATACCTAGGTGGAAGGTACGAATGGGTAGGTGTACCAAGGGACTTGGGCACTTGGGGAAGGCACGAATACGTACCTGGCGAGATGGATCATTGGCAAGGACGGGCAGGGACGGGTGGTGGTCTGGGCTCCTGCGGTTTCTGGGCTCATATCAGGCGTAGTTTCTAGATAATCGTACGATGCTCCCCCCGTTTCCTTCCCTCTCCCAATTCTCTGCCTCCCTCTTTCGCTCTCCTTCGACCCTCCCACCCGATTTCGATTCGATCACCGATTGCTTGCCCTCCACCCATTGACTGGAACTGTCAAACCGCAATTGAACATCTCGAATTCTCGACAATTTGTATCCGTAGACAGACAGAGTACGACTACGACTACAGATAATCTCTGCACGTTGAATGTGCATGCATCAGAAGGAACATCAAGCAAACCACCGAGTCCCCCGACACACACACACACACACACACACACACAACTTTTGACAGAACCCCCGCCCCTCTTCTCTTCCCTCCCTCGACCTGCAGCGCCTGGCCCTGAGCAGTGGCCCACCCCCAGCAAGTCCCGTCAATTCGCTGCGTCGCATCCGTGAGAGGAAAAATAAGGCACCGCAAAACCAGACCAGCGTCATACGACTTCGACCCTCTCGCTTGTTTTCCCTCTGGGTCTCTCCGTTCTGCCTCCCGGCTGACACCACTCCTCCATCCCCATCTGTCCATCGCCTTCTGCCGACAGTCGTACGACCAGACATTCTTCCCGCTGAGCACCACGCCGCTGATTGCCGTCAATTGCTCTCGCATTCCCGATACCTCACTACTCCAACCCAAAAGACACGACCAATCTCTGGCCCCTGCGGCCTCGTCCACCGATCCCGTCGCTGCTCGCCGGCCACTCATATCGAGTCCCGCTCCAGACTCGGGACCTGGCCCCCATTCCCAGCGCCGAGCGCACCCAAAGAATCCCAGGCCCGACTCGACTTCGATGAATTGAGCATCAGCCCATAGTTGCATATTTGACCGCTCTGCAACATGGCGGACCAGGATCCCAACGCCTTATTTGGCCTCGACGACTCGAACCTCGGCGTGCCCCCGTCGTTCCTCGACGACTCCGACGGCCAGAACGTCAAATCTGACCGAACTGGATCCAGCATCGCCAACGACAATCAGGCCTACTACGACGCAAACAATTGGCCCTTTCAAGACACCCCCCCGTACGACTCCTACAACATCGCTGCCGTCACCACAGCCGCTGGCGCCACTCCTCTCTTCCAGACTGCCGCTCCGTGGGATTTCTCTCCGAATAACCAACACCAACAACACGGCCCTCCTGCGGTCACCTCCGGCTTTGACCACTCGACTCTCGCCCAGGCTGGCTTCTATGCCGCTCCCACTCACGCCCCCAACAACCAGCAATCCCACCGAGGAGGCCAACCCTCAACCGTCGCGCAAGAGACGCTGAGTCGTCTGACTCCCGCTCAGCAGGAAAAGCTCAGAAATATCGCCATGCCTGCCCATCTTCAGTATCAATCTCCCAAGAGCGAGCCGAGCCCCGGATCCGCCACCAGCGACCACAAGGCAGCAGGACTGTCGTCTCCCGATGCCCACGACTCTAGCAAGGCCAGCAGGAAGCGCAAGTCTTCGGCTGATGTAGATGATGATGATGAGGAAGATGAAGATGGTCAGCCCATCAAAAAGACGGCCCACAACATGATTGAGAAGAGATATCGCACCAACCTCAATGACAAAATTGCCGCCCTTCGAGATAGCGTCCCCAGCTTGAGGATCATGTCCAAGAGTGCTAGGGGAGAAGACACAACCGAGGACCGCGAGGAGCTTCACGGCTTGACGCCAGCTCACAAGCTAAACAAGGCTACGGTAAGTCGTACAGACGATGCATTATGACGAGACGATTTACTGACAATCGCAGGTTCTGAGCAAGGCCACCGAGTACATACGGCATTTGGAGAAGAGGAATAACCGTCTCTGCGATGAGAACCATGCTATGCAGAACCGAATCGCTGCCTTTGAGAAGCTTTTCATGGCTGGCGCGATGAATGGTGCAATGAGCCCTCTCCAGCAACCACCGACTCCTATGCAGTATCCCCAGGATCAGTACATGAGCACCCCCATCGGAACGCCGCGCGGCGAGTCTGCACAAGGAATGATTCCCGTGCCTGACGACATGAAGCGCATTATTTCTGCGCAAATGGCGGCTGGTCAGCCTTATCCCATGCCGCAGCAAAACTACCGCGGAAACCCCAACGTCATGCGACAGCAACAAATCCAGCAACAGCAGCAGCAGCAACAGATGCAGCAACAAGGACGCTGGGGCAACAGTAGTCAGTACTTCGGCAAGTTGATGGTCGGCTCGCTCGCCGGTCTCATGATCGTCGAGGCTGTGCGAGAGAACGAGCAAAGCAACGAGTCGCCAGAGGGCCGCGGTCTTTTTGCCCTGCCCATCCAACTACTCAGCTACCTTGGATCGACTTCTCACATGCACATTGGCGGCTACTACATCTCTCCTGCGCAGATCATCTCGCATCTGAAATTTTTGTTTTTCCTCGGCACTTGCTTGTGGGTCTTTGTGCCCTCGCTCTTTGTGCCATCTGAGAAGAAACCCAAGAAGGCACAGCGTCTTCGAGAATCGCTCCAGGCCGCTGGTTCCGTTGCATCTCCGATCCACGTCCGTCGCCAAGCTTGGTTGACTGCTATCCAGACCGTCTGGGTTCCTCAGCACAACTTCTTCCTCGAGGCTGCCGCTCTGATCATGAAGACGATGAAGCTCAGCATGCGCAATGCTATCGGTGTACACGGCTACCAAATGCTCACTGGTCTCACTGAAGAGCAGGAGGCTGCTCGTGTCAAGGCTTGGTCGATTGCTTTGGATGCCCAGCTTGCAGGAGGCGATGTTGAGATCAACAAGAGCCGTCTGACCTTGACTCTCCTGGCATCAGGCACCCTTCCCGATACCCCTTCCCGGCTGATGCTCAAGGCCCTTCACGTCCGTGTACTTCTCTGGGACCTCGGTGCCAAGGGACTCCACAACATCGTCGCCAAGAAGGTCGCCCGCTCCCTATGGAATGAGGCGAGAAACCAGAACCGCGTTCTCTCGCAGCTGCGCCGTAACTCTGAGCAGGTTGAGGATGATCTTCCCGAGCACCTAGCTGCCCTTATCGAGCAAGAATGCGACGACGTCCTCAACAACAGCGTTGTTCAGCGAGCCTACAACTTGGCGTGGAACTTGTCGACTACCGAGGGAGTTACCGAGCACAACGACGGAATGGACACGGTCGTCGATGACCAAGCCGTTCGATCGCCCCTGGATGCCGTTGCTGCCTGGTGGTCGAGCCAGACCATCCAGCGTGCTTTGATTACCAGTCTCGAAGCAACCAAGGACGACGGTGATGCCCCAAGAGTAGTGTCAACCTGCTTGGCTACCGCTCTGAAAACTTCCCCCATTGGTTCTGGTGTGCAGGCGCGCGCTCTGGTGGCTCGCGCCGTGCTCGTTGACGAGAAGCGAGGAGCCAACATCGCCGCTGCTCTTCAGAACATCAAGCCGACCAGCGAACAAAAGTCTCTCAGCAAGATTGCCGCCATTATCGACTCTTCGTCTATCGCCCAATCACCCGATGTCCAGATGGCTCTCGACTGTGCCATGGCCATTGCCCACCTTCAACGTGCCAAGCTGGCGGCCACTCCATCGCAAAAGGGGTTCGGAATCATCGAGAAGATTGCCCGCCCCAGCGCTACCGCCAACATGTCTCTCCTTGGATGCACTGCTCTCTTTAAGCTCATGGAAGAACTGTACGCCCAACAGTCGGCTTCTGACAACTTCAGCACGTCTCTGGAGCGCGTCGCCGGCAGCCTCCGAATCTGGATTGGCAGCGCTCCTGGTGAGAAGTGCGGTCTCGAGCAGGACGTCCGTCACAAGATGGTGGACCGCTGCCTCAGCATCACCAAGAGCGTTGTCGGTATGGAGACTGACACGGGCTACGGAAGTATGAGCGAGTGTGAAGAAGACGGCTGCTGACGAAATTGTATGTTTGTGGTATATCCAGAGGCGGTATCTCCCCTTATTTACATACTAGATACATTTTATTTCCTTTCTCTTGTTGTACTTTCTATGGATAGGGCATGGGGCTCGGCGTCACTATTGGGGTGGACGTATGTCTTGGACTGGCGTTTATTTTGCAAGGAAAGCAACGAGACTTACGGCTGGAAAAGGATGGGACCAGCGGATTTTGCATGAGCAGAGACGGGACGTCGCATCTGACTGACATTGATTTCCCACGAGGACTGTCATGGAACGGGACAGGAGACGGAGACGGAGACGGACGGTACGGTCTGGGGATATATACAAGTCGGCTCAAAAGTTGCGATGGGAAACTTTCTCTTTCTCTATAATATGCGGGCCATGGGGCCTGCCATTATGTAGAATCAATATCGACGATGTGTTCGTTGCATATACTATTGATCTGTTATCTGGAGTCTGTTTGTGGGTGACGGTGAACTGCATTGGGTGGAGATGGAGGGCATCCTGGAGCTTTGCCCCATTCCAGCCAGCTGTCTCCGTGAGGGTTGCAACGAGGGGGCATGTCACTCTGTCGTGGAGGGCACAGGCGACTTTCCTCTTTCAACACGGGCGGAATGTCACCACGCTCTGTTCAAGTTTTTGAGCATCGAGATGGTTAAGGGCGTTTGATGAGAAGATGAAAGGAAAGCATGCGATGTCTGATGTTTTGATCACGGCGCTGACGTTGATGGAGTTCTTCTCTAGGACCATATGGCAAGACTTTGGATGGGACTGGGCAGTGTTTAAGAGGAGACACTGGGAAGAGGGATACGGGATTTTCAAGGGATGAGATGAGATGGGCCGAATTGGATGGAGAACATATTGAGCAAGTACTCTTTCTGCATTCGCATACCTGGAAGCAAGGTAATTTAGAAGGACAAGTACATCGAGGCGATGCAAGTTTATCGGAGTCTCTCGGTGCGTGGTGCGGCAGTCGAGGGAAATGAACCCGCTTATTTCTCCCTTGGGCACCACCCGGCAAGGCCCCTTCAGGTGATCGTGGGTACTTTTAGGTACGTCTCCACCTTTCAAAGGTGCATGAGACCGGGACCCCCCAACCCGGCCAAAGATACCGGCACGTTAAACACGACAACACCACACTGCACACTGACGACTTGCACAGGACCTTGGCACCCACCGCCCACGCATTTAACAAGGGACGGATAGCTGGGGTAGGGAGAGACGGGCAATCACACAGTTCGACCTGCACTAGATGCGCTAGAGACTGCTAGCAGCAACGGTCGCTAGACTTATCGGATCCGAACGGTCAATCCCAACGTCCGTCCGTACTTTCCTTGTCCCGCCCCGGCACATGATCGCCAGAATGGGCACGGCGACAGGGCCTTTTGCCAGGTTATCGAGAAAGGTTGCAGCAATGGCCTGCTGGAACGGGTCTCGAGTGCCGCCCGACATGTGAGTTGTTATCGGCCCCTTGCAGAATACGCATAGCTCATGGCTGACTCCCACGTCTTCTATCAGTCTATCTACAGCACCATCCGGCGGTTGGCTGCCATATTGCATTGCCAAGGCCTCGCTTCTTCTTCAACTCGACATTCCATAAGTCTTATCATTCAAACTTGAGCCTACCCTGAGGCTGAGTTCGAGGACCAAGCTCAAGGTGCTGACAAGCGTCAAAGCCGGGGAAATGTCTTGGAGGCGGGTGCTTAGTCTTGTTGTTTGCCACGAGCTGGACGCTTGTTCGAGCGAAGCATCTGCGAACACCCCGGACAACCCAGCTCGCGTTCATCATCATCCTCCTTCTCAACATCAAATCAGAGCCCATCCTGCCGAGGGGAATACGCCCTCCCACACGGTCATCGCCCTCCAAAACTCCAAAAAGCTAGGACTGGCCTGCCCAATGGCGATAGCAACTGACCCCAAACTGCAACTCCCCGCATCCTGATGGCAACCACACCACAACCTCCAAATCCAATCAGACGCCGACATCACCGGGCGCCATGTGACGCAAGATTGCATCTGGCAAGGGCGAATGCTCATCTCTCAGACTAGCTCGTCACTTTTTCAAGAGACGCGAGAGTTGACCGCTTGCTGCCTCGTGTGCCTCGCTCCCCTCGCTGGTCCTCTCAGGTCGTCTCTCTCCCTTTCTTGCCCCTCTAGCTCGCTGCTCTACCCTGATTTTTCATCGAGAATCGAGTATCGATGGCCCCCCTGGCCTCCTCACTTGGAAATACCACCTGCCAGCTAGTCAATGTTGCGCAGCCCTTCAGGAGACACGGACAAATCATTACGTCCGAACCATCGGCACAGTTTCCCCTTTTCGCAGAACCGGCATTATGATGGCCAGGTACCCGTCCTGTTTGTTAGTCAGAAGGTCGGCTAGCTCTCAGGAGCTCCAAAAAGCATGGAGGGGAAGACGATGTCCACGAGCCACGAGCTCGTCGAGGCGGGCCATAAAAGAGTGGGTGACACGTCATGGTTGCCCACAGATCTCGAGCTTGGAAGCCCGAGTTCACAGACTGATTGCCCACGATGCCTCGTCACTCTCGTTCTGGCCTCGAGATGCCTAGGCGTTCGTTCTTCGCCGTCTTTGCTTTGATTTCGTTCGTGCTGCTCGTCACCATTAGCCTCTCCCAGCTTGGAACTCGACAAGGCCCCAACCTCAAGTTTGAACGCAATGCCGACGGAGAATGGCATGCCAAACCCAAGACGCGTGCCGCGGCGGGTGACAAGTACCTTCTCGGTGTTGGAAAGGCCGACATCACTGGCCCTGTTGTCGAGATTGGCTTTGCAGGGTACGCTGATCTGAGCCAGGTTGGAACTGGATTGAGACAGCGGATCTACAGCCGTGCTTTCATAGTCGGGGATGTGAGCAAGCCGAGCGATCGCTTTGTTTATCTTGTGCTAGATACTCAGAGTGGTGATACAGCTGTTCGCAAGGGTATTCTTGAGGGTGTTGCAGCTCTTGGTTCGGGATACTCTGTGTACAACAAGAACAATGTTGCCGTGACGGGCACTCACAGCCATGCTGGCCCCGGAGCTTGGTTCAACTACCTTCTGCCGCAGGTCACCAGCTTGGGTTTCGACAAGCAGAGTTACCAAGCTATTGTTGACGGGGCAGTTCTCTCCATCAAGAGGGCGCACGAGTCACTGCAAGAGGTACGTCGGTCGTCTTCGAAAGATGTGCCTTTTGACTGACACTATTAGGGATACCTGGACGTCGGAACCACCGAGGTCACTGACGGCGCCATCAACCGCAGTCTATACGCCTATCTCAACAATCCTGCGGCAGAGAGGGCCAAGTACAGCGCCACCACCGACACAACCCTGACTCTTCTCCGCTTCCAGCGCGCCTCTGATGGCAAGAACATGGGCGTCCTCACCTGGTACCCAACCCACGGCACCTCGATCCTCCAAAATAGCACGCACGTAGCGGGCGACAACAAGGGAGTCGCGGCGTATCTTCTTGAGAAGGACCTCGCGAGTGACGCGAGCGCTGCGCCGGGCTTCGTGGCCGGCTTCAGCCAAGCAAACGTTGGTGATACCACGCCTAATGTACTCGGCGCCTACTGCGATGATGGTTCCGGCCAGCAGTGTAGCCTGGAGAACAGCACTTGCGCCGACGGTAAGAGTCAGTCGTGCCATGGTAGAGGTCCTGCGTTCCAGAAGTTGGATCTGGGCATTTCGAGCTGCTATGAGATCGGCCGTCGTCAATTCGCCGGTGCCAAATCTGTATATGTAAGTTATGATATGCCCGATGCGGGATCCAACATGGCTAATTCTCCTTAGAATGCTCTTTCTACGACTTCAACCCCTGTTACCGGCACCAGTGTCAAGTCCTTCCACTTCTTCCAAGACATGTCCTACTTCAAGTTTCCCCTCGCAGACGGCACCACCGGCCAGACCTGCCCCGCCGCCCTCGGCTACTCCTTCGCCGCGGGAACCTCGGACGGTCCCGGCGCCTTCGACTTCACTCAGGCCGACTCTGGCACTCCCGATGCCAACCCCCTGTGGGCGGTCGTCTCTGGTCTTCTCAGGACGCCCAGCGCCGAGCAGGCTGCTTGTCAACAGCCGAAGCCTGTCTTGCTGGACGTTGGCGAGATGAGCACCCCTTATGCTTGGAGTCCCAATATTGTAGACATCCAAATGCTCCGTGTTGGGCAGTTGGTCATCGTCGTTGCGCCTGGTGAAGCTACAACCATGAGTGGGCGGAGATGGAAGGCTGCAGTCAAGGAGGCTGCGAAGAACATTGTTCCTAATGATCCTCTTGTTGTCCTTGGTGGCCCTGCCAACACATATGCTGTAAGTTTTGCAATGCGTTTACTTCGTGTTGCCAGTCACTGACAGTTCCCAGCACTACATCGCCACTCCCGAAGAGTACGCAATCCAACGCTATGAGGGCGCATCAACTCTTTTCGGACCCAACACCCTCCCAGCCTACATCAACCTCACCGTCTCCAACATCGCCTACCTCTCCCCCTCCTCCACATCCACCCCCGCAGCAGGCCCCTCGCCCCCAGACAACCGCGCCAACTCCCTCTCCTTCATCACCGGCGTCGTCGTAGACGGCGCACCAGCAGGCCGCTCCTTCGGACAGGCTATCGGTCAGCCATCGGCGTCGTATACTCGCGGCGCGGTAGTCAACGCCACATTCCAAGCCGCGAACCCGCGGAACAACCTCAGACTCGAGGGGACGTACGCTGCGGTAGAGCAGCTGCAGAGCGGAAAATGGGTGCAGATTCGGACCGACGCGGATTGGTTCCTCGTGTACACTTGGACGAGGACGAATTTCTTGCTTGGGTACAGTGAGGTTGTGATTAGCTGGGAGACTGGGACGAGTGATGGGGCTGGGCCGGGGACATATAGGATCAAGTATTATGGTGATTCGAAGCCGTTGATTGGAAGTATTTCGGCTTTTGAGGGGACGAGTGGGAATTTCACATTGGTTTAGGGGAGGGGAAGAGGGGTTGGTGATGATTACGGATTATGAGGTTTGGGTTTCGTAGTGATGAATCGTAATGTCTTTTTCTCGTAATCTTACTGTCTTTCTCTATTGCTTTATGATGTCCTAGTTGACACTGTCTTTTTTCCAACGCTCGTCGGGCAGCCCAGCCATCTTGCGCAAGGAGGCAGCCACGTTCGTGTGCGTACTTCATATATCTAGCAGGCGGCCTATCACCACTCAGCCTGCCTGCAGTTGAAAGCATGAGGGCTTCTTTGCAGATACATAAGCACCTCCCACCCGTCGCCCGGTTTATTCCAACCCGCTGAACTCTCCATCAACACGCACCCCACAGCCTGATTGCAAACGTCGTTCCAGTGAGTTCTCTGCTAGCGTCTGTTTCTTTGAGACTGTACCGAGGATAAATCAGGCACTGAATCACTCTGAATCCAAGCAGCGAAACATGGGTCCCGAACGGTCTGAAGAACCTGATTTCTGGATAAATAAGAGCCTCTACGAAGAGTGTTCGGTCGTTGTTTTCGACGATAGCGCCGACGACTTTTACGAGGGAACGAATGGGAATAACCAGCTAACCCTCCGACATTTCGCGGAGGGTAAAACGGTATAATTTGCTTGGCATCTCAATCCACTCGCACTCAGAGAGACAAACTGCCTGACTTGCCCGTGATGGCTAAATCCTCTGGTTCTGGTTGCCATTTGTGTGGTTTCATCCGGGAAGAGCTCATACGACGCAGTATTATCTACGAGGGAGAAATCATTGTATTCGGGAGTTACCTTTTTGACGGGCGAGAGTTATATTCTTTCACCGTCGGAGGTCCCGGTTTAGTTTACTGGAGATGTACGGCCTACGAGCTTGACACTGAGGAAGCGCGCGGTATTGCAGTGCTTAATTTTGATGTTGAGACCAGGGACGGTGAGTGTATCACCATCACCCTTTATCAATCGATTCTAATGTCTTTCTGCAAGACGCATTGATTCAATGTCTAAGACCTAGCCTGAAGCGCACCCCAGAGCATTTGGATCTACAAAACAATGAATGGCTGTCACAACTTTGGAGTTGCGAGGATGAATGCGGCCATCTAACCCAATCATCGGATTCATCACTATTCCTGCCCACCAGGCTAATTGATGGGGGCCAGTGCGAGACAGATATTCCCCGGCTCGTTGATGTCGGAGGCATGCTCAACTCGCTCGAATCGCTCAACTCGGTGACGATTGACACTTTCCGGTATGCGGCACTGAGCTATTGTTGGGGTTCCAAACAAGATGCTCTAAAGCAAGTAAAATCCACAAGAGATACGATGTCGACCCATTCTCAAGGAATAGCGCTTAGCCCTATGGGCCCTTTCGTCCGCGACACTGTGAAGGTCTTTAGGGCACTCAATATTAAATATCTCTGGGTTGACGCTCTTTGTATAATTCAGGGAGATAAGGTAGATTGGGGTCAGGAGAGCCAGATGATGGGCCACATCTACTATTTTGGCTCACTAACTATCTGCCCCGTGTCTTGGAAGTCTTGTCTTCAAGGCTATCTTGAAGTCTGACCTCAAGGTCTTGACATCGCGTTCCAATCATTGCACCATGAACATATCAGGGGTACCTACACGCTCGTACTCTCTTCTACCGATGTTGAAGAAGAGGCGACGAACAAGTCTCTTCCAAGGCGATTATGGGCAGATCTCAGAAGCTCCTCATGGGACCATCGGGGCTGGACTTTCCAAGAGCGGCTTCTTTCACCTCGCTCGATCATTTTCGGGTCTTCTCTGAGCCATTTCTCCTGCGAGACCCATTCAAAGTCGGAGAATGGGTACTGGCCCACGAACTTCGGGCATAGACAACTGCGGTCTTTGATAAGTAATGCTTTTGGAGGAGGGGGCAATGAGCTTTTGGACCAGAGAGTGTCCGAAATATACGAGGCTTGGAATGCTACCATGAACCAGGTCACGACCAGGATCTGGACATTTCGTGAGGATATCTTTGCCGGAATTGCTGGTATTGCCAAGGGACTCGCTGCAATCACCGGGGACACATATCTTGCAGGCTTATGGAAACATGATCTGCATCGTCAGCTGATTTGGAGCATCATACGTCCGGCACCTGGCAACTTGCGCTCACTAGTGGATGGCTTGCTACACCCAGACCCATACATCGCTCCTTCGTGGACCTGGGCAGCACGGCAAAACTACATACAATCTTTTGAAGGTAGGCACATGGAATATCCGCTTTCGGCGTCACCTGGGTCACAAGTTCAAGTTTATATTGCCCATCATCGCCCCGAATTTCGCTGATAGACTACCGCATGGTCACTTAAGGCAGCAACCCGTTCGGCCCTCCGAGCGGAGCTTTCCTTCGGTTGAAAGGCAGGATGTGATCCTTCCCTTCGAATGTCAAAAGGGACACCGTGGGGCCGAACATAAACTACCGTTTGTCATACGGGCAATTTCCAGGCGGGATCGGGACTTGCATGCTCGACTGGTACGTCAACCAAGTCTCGGTTGAAATGCCAGAGAGCATGCGATTATTCTTAGTATTGAGCTGCTGTTCGGCAATGGTGGACTGGAAGCGCATGAAGTTCTTTGCACATTGCGACGACGAAGACTTTGACAACTGGAAGCCAAGTGACGCAGACTTTGACTGCATGCCGTCTTTGGAAACGGGTCAGTGCCGATACTGCTCGGATCCGATGCACAAGCGTACTTGGTGGGGTCTTGTTGTTCATCCTGCGGAAGAGCCTAGGTCGTACGTAAGAGTTGGCATTTTTGTGTTATCTGGACACAAAGGGGGCATAGATATCTTCAGGAACGAGGCAGAAGAGATTAAACTCATTTAGGTAGCTTTATTTCCATCCCCATCTGCTTTGAAATGCGCTGTCAAGTCATTTCAGGACTTGTGAATCTTTCTTGGATACGAAGACATCATTGTCAAAAGTAACCAGTGCAACAGCCTGGCTTCGTTGCGGGAAGTGAATTTGATCTTTACATATTCTGGGACGATACCGAAGAGGCGTCGTTGAATCTAGTCGACCCTTTACTCTTAGCAGGATATCTACCGTAGCCTTTTCTATTTGCTTTGCCATCGAATGGGAGTTGTTGATGTCGTCGAAAGTATTTGACAAATCGTGCGCCAAAGATTTCAATGTCAGGTCTGATGATTTAACATCCTGCACATTGCGCTCAACTGATACAACACGAGACTCACGAGTGCCTTCTAGAGGACTAGAACGACCGACTTACTCATTGAATTCTGAAAAGTTCGGCCCAGTAAATGCAAGAGTCTTGACGCCATGTGCCGATGAACTTTCAACGCTCTGAGTATGCATTTTTCTGGATTCTGTCTCTCTCTCCCCCCTTTCCTCCGTCTCATACCTCGAGCACTCCCACACACGAACACCATGTTGGAAGCGTTGAGAGAGATATATGCTGAGGCTTCAACAAGCATGCACGGAATTTCCTATCTTGCGTGCTTAACTACACCATGAGTCGTGGGTCGCGCGGCAGAATCGCATTCCAACCAGAGCCATGCCCGTTCAGCTTCTCACAGCCTGCTTAACTAGCGTCCTGCGCCCCCAGCCCTGTCTTGCCTGGAAAATGCTTGCTTCTTCAGAGAAAGCACGCTAGTAAATCGCCGGCGAAGACCGAGATCGGCAAATGTGCTACAAATAGGGGGCTCTGGGGCCTGTTCAAAGTCAATCTCACGCGTGCTTCCCACCGATGCAACGCTGGGAAGTTGGAACCCACTCCCGGGCCCTTGTTTGGCACGTCACGTACGGGTATTCGTAGACTATCCTAGAAGAGCTAAAAAGTTTCTACGTCGCGAAAGCTTTACATGGTTATTGAATACGATCATCGTCGTTCTTGCGTCTCGTCGGAGGCTGGCAGGTTATCATCGAAGAGCGTTCGTGTTTGTCTTGCACTTCAGCCGTACTCAGGCATCTGCCTCAGATGGTGTTAGCTGTCTCTTACTTGGGCTGAGGTTTGAGACATTCCGTAGGTATTCGGGAAAAGCCCCGATGCTTCTTTAAGATTGCTCCGTCGACAGCCCAACTAGTAAGTGACGCCTGGTATAGAGCTCGCTCGCTCGAGGGACTACCTTCTATCTATTGTGAATATTTGATTTTCCTCATTGGTTGGCAGGATGTGTACTTGTAGTGTGTGAGCAGATTCATGGCCGGCAGCTGGATGTTTTGCACGTGGCGTCTAGACCCCAGCTGATCGAAAACGAGAATATCTGCCCCTTTGCCGTAGAAGTCAGGTTTCAGGTCCTGTGAGTCCCCTTTCGAGAAGCTACATATGATCTGAAGAGCCCCCCGTGATTTTGCTCCTGTTTTGACACTTCTCGTCTCCTTTTGCTGCTGTCCAGGGACTTGGCGTAGTTCGTTGCCTTGGAACCCAGTCCCTGTCCAATTTCTACTTGGAACCAAAGTCCAAACCTTATTTCCGCCGACAGGTCTGTCCCGGCAACAGGACAAGGCACCGGCGCACCGCCGAACGAACGGAAACATGCGGGCCTCCTTCGAACATAGCACGTATCTGATCTACAGTCTGCTTACACTGCTCAGCAATCTCCGCCAAGCACACGCTACCTATTACCTCAACCAGGCCGACGGGTACGATTCACTGCCGTCATGTGCGGAGCCGCCCATCAGCTCTATTGTGCGGGACATGGTGGCCGGGTGCGGTGACGGCGGGAGGACGACGTCGTATGGCTGTTTCTGCACGGCGAGTTCCGACAGGTTCAGGGAGATTATCGCGACGTCGGTCGCGAAGATTGCGGGCGGTCTGGGGCCGAGGTTGAAAGTGCGACGAGCGTCTTTGATGCGTATTGTCAGATGGAGAAGACTGACAAAGTCACTACTTGTGAGAACTCCTCGGAGTCGAACCCTTGGTCTGGTGGATACGCATACTGATGTGATGATGTTTAAGCTGCGACTAAGGTGACCTCAGCATCCGCGACTGCGACGTCTGCGGCGGAAACCGCGTCTGCTTCATTAATAAGTTCTGGTGGTCTCACGAGCATCGCATCGTCGACTTCGTCTTCGTCACCGGCTTCTTCGAGTTCCGGTAGCTCTGGCATATCTACCGGAGCGATCATTGCCGTCAGCGCCTGTACTTCTCTTGTGGCTATCGCGTTGTGTGCCGCGGCCTTCTTTCTGTGGCGTCGACGACAACAGAAATCTTTGCGAGCGGGCCGGGATGCACAGGGCCATGTTTACGAAGTCAAATCTCGGGGTGACATCCCTCCAAGTGAATTGGATGGGAGCTTTGAGGTCTCCCATGGCGCGAGAGAGTACCATGCAAAGCCGGAGTTGGAAGCGAGGAGTGCTGTGAGGGAGATGCATGTTGAGCCCAAGACTAGGAGGCATGAATTGGCTGAGCTGCAGTGACTTTCGTCTTCGTGTTGTTTGAATAAGTAAATGACGCTCGAGTGAATACGGACATCGCGATTTTGCATGGTATTTTCTGAGATTTAGTGAATAGACTCGAGCGAACGTCACAAGAGATGTCAGAAATCACTTAAAACATGGAGTTGGACGCATCTGGGTCAGGATCGAGCCCACATGCATTTACTTTAAAGACATTATTACATTATTAGACAGGCTACTCTACAATCACTTCGAGGTGATTAGACGGCGAATCCACCAGAGTTCTTCTGTCTCGGCTCGCCAGCTGCCTCGAACGTGCCGTTGGGCAGCAGCCTCACACCCTGCGCCGTGCTACCGCCAGGCGCAACCCAGGTCACGTTCGTGCCCAAGCTCGCAAGGTAGCTCGTGGTGCCATTATCGTACGCGTACTCGAAAGCGGCCGTGTTGGGGCTCAGCTGGTCATGGAAACGAGGCTCGGCGAGGGCCTGCGCCGTGGTCAGGTTTCTGTCGAGAACGTTGTGGAGGTTCTGGATGGTGGCCGTGATGATACGGCTGCCGCCGGCTGAGCCGATGACGAAGTAGAGCTTGCCGTCGGGGTGCTCGACGATGACGGGGGAGATGGAGGAGAGGGGTCGCTTGCCGGGGCGGACGTAGTTGGCCGCGCTGGGGATGAAGCCGAAAGCGTTGCTGGAGCCCGGAATGCTGAAGTCGTTCATCTCGTCGTTCATGATGACGCCTGTCTCGGGGACCATGAGTTGGGATCCGAAGAGGAGGTTGACGGTCGTGGTGAGGGAGACGGCCATGCCGCTGGCGTCGGCGACGGCGATGTGTGAGGTTCCGGGGGTCTCGAGGGACTCAATGCCCTCGGGGTTGTAGTAGGACACGTTCTGGGTGCTGAAGTCGGAGATCTTGGAGCGGATTTCGGCGCCGGCCTCGGGGGAGATCATGCTCTTGGTGTAGGCTGAGAGGCCGTCCACAAAGGACGGGTCGCCGAGCTTGGTGCGCTGGCCGTAGGCGAAGCGCATGGACTCGTCCAGTCTGTGGACGGTGCTGTTCCGCTGGGCCGGGTCGCCGAACCCTTCGTACCCGCTGACGATGTTGAGGGCGCTGAGGGCGACGATGCCGCCGGAGGGGGCGTTGCAGGCCGTGAGCTTGTAGCCCCTATACGAGATCTGCGCGGGCTCTCTGATGGCGACGGTGTAGTTCTTCAGATCGGCCATGGTCATGGTGCCGT